CTGAGCATTGCACAATTTGACCTTGGAGTTACATTTGAGGACGATTGTTGAGGAAGAAAACCCAAATGAAAACGGGAGCGCCGTATTTGGTGGAGGATGGAACCAAAACTGAGGAGCATCACTGGGGCGCCTGTGAGCGCTGTACCTGTCTGACTGATTTAGGAGTTGGTCTACGTTGCTGCCCTCATCTATGACAGATGGAGTTGACCTCTGGAGATAGGGACCAGCCCCCCCGTGACCCTGCACGGAAAAAAGCAGGTATAACAATGGATGGATGGGGTGCATAAGGCTGGAATCCAGCTAATCTGATGATGAAATACGTTGTTGACGGCTGGAACCCGAGGCAAACCCTCCTGGACTCTTTCAGAGTATTTGAGAAGATGAGACGGACAGGCTGGACCCTCCTGGCCGCTTTGGAGAACTTGGAAGGCCCTGTTGCAAAACTGTGCAGCTTGAAGTGGACACTGAGAGCCCCTTGGAGAACACAGGAGCAGGAGGAAGATCGTGTCTAATTCTCACAGCATGAACCACCAGTGAAACCCTGCGGCTACAAAATGCTAAAGGAGAAGATGAAGTTCTGTCCTTCCAGTGGCGCCAATACTTTTAAAAGCATGTTTTGTAAGGTGGGTTTGCTTCTCACTGAATAATTGTAGGCCAAATATCTCTGGTTTTAGCAGGAGTGACGATATAGGGAAGAGATTACTTGTACATTCATGATGATCTTTCAGTTTGAATCAAAGCAGTGAGCAATTTGACACGGGAGTCTAAGTTAAAACAAGGTAGTGTTTTTTTTTTTTTAATTGCTACGTTAACATTAAAGACAATCTGTTTTAATGCTAAAAAGGATCTTATTCTGCTAAATTGTAAGTAAGCGTGTGGAGCAGGAAGTCGATGTGTTTGGTTATTCTGTCCATTTCCCTGCACTGCGGCAGAGGCAGATGATCTGGTGTTGGTGTGTCTGTAAGCAACAGAGAGGGAGACACAGAGACGAGGCGCTTGCTGCAGGATCTGACACCTCATCACACCTCATCAGTAATCAAAGATTAGCACATAGCTGCGCAGATGGCTGTGCGTGGTTAATGTGTGCATATTATGTTTTTGTGCCGTTAACAGTTTTTTTTTCTAAGCAATACGGCAGCTTTTTTTTTTTTCCATCTCCGTGTGTACAAACAGGAAATCTAGAGTGACGGGTTACAGCTGAGCGTCATTTGAGAACATGAATGTTACACAGCAGCACTGAAAGCTGTCAGTCCCGTGTTATTCCCTGTAGATGACCTTTTGCAGCCAAAACCTGCAGTGCAACTGTCTTAGTGTGAAGCTGTTGATTCTGTTTAATGTACATTGTGACGGCTTGTTTGTGCATCTTTTTTCCCCCCGAAACGTGATTTAAATATCCATATTTGGGAATGAATGCTACAGTTTTGGATTTGTTATCTGATGAAATGAAACAGAGTGGAGTTGGGATTAATCCAGTGTGTTGTACATCCTCATAAATCCTGGCTTTTTGTCTCTTTAAGGTGGCTGTGGATGGCGAAGTGATAACACAGCGATAGGAGAGGTGCTTAAAGAAGACTGAACTATGTCCTGACACCACTTTTCCTCAGCCGAGCCCTCCAGGTACAAACTGCAGCTGAGTGGGTAACTACACTCTCAGCGCCAGTCCAGATGTTGACCTAATTTACAAAGGCGAGCAGCGTATGTGGCCCAGTTGTGTGTCCTCGTGGCCACTGCTTGTGTATGCATGCGTGGATGTCAACAATGTCAACATCTACAGAAATAGTTCTATGTTTCCCCAACGGTAAGCTCTGGAGACCTTTTTAACCCTCGCTTCCTGCTCACACTTTGTGTGGACGAAAGAGAAAATATTCGTCAGCTGCTCTAAGCTTTCAGTTAATGCTCCGTCTGTGAAGATGTCCAGGTTTATGTGTGTGATTATTTTTCTACAGCCATTTTTTCTGATTTATGAAGATCAACACACACCTTTGTCCATCCGTCAGCTATTTCATCCCAGCTTTTATTTCAGTTAACTGTGATGATTTTCTGCTCACGTTTAACGAAAACATCTGATCTGAGACTGGAATGTACAGTCAGATTAAAAACATTTTTGTACATAAATGTGGGCTTCATGTAAAGTATGTTTATTTTTTTTTTAATGTTTATTTTCAAAAGGTACTGAAAATTGTAATTGCTTGAATGTGGAATATGACTCCATAGGATATATTTTATTTTTAAATCAACATTTTCCAAAGGTATAAATAATTTCGGGCTTAGCTGTAAAAGAGGAAGAGACCACAGGAATGTTATTCTGCAAATAATATTTCATGATTGTCATCTTCATTATTTAGGAGATGCTACGAGATGCACTTCAGCATTTTTTTTTACCAATATTGTTTTTATTTTTTTTAAAAACAAATATTTTTGATCACATGGACAAATTGTGAATTCTTCTGACTTTTATTTAACAAAAATAAAAAGAAAATCTTAACTAAAACTAAAAACAATGTTTGCACAATAGGCAAGTCTTATTTTTGATGATTAATCTCAAATCTTAAACCTCAAACGTGAATGTGTAGGAAATTAAAAGTGAGATTTTTGCCTTATTAATCAAATATCTACATATACGTGCTCAATTATTGGGCAACTAACTACTGAGCCAACAATTTTCTGTAATGCATCACTGCTCAGAGTCAGAAACAGACCTGTGGGTAAGTTCAAAGGTCATTTTGGGCACGTCCAAATGTGTGGATTTGCAGAAAACCAGTTGGTTTGAAAACAGTGAAAGAGACCCATCTGCCAGTCACCTGCCTGCACAGTCTCATCGCAGTGAGCATATACATGTGCTGGTTGGCCTGCTGGCACCGCAGCTGTATTCACGAGGCAACAGGTCAGTGTTATTACACATCTGCAGCATAGTGGTGACCAGATGTGAAGTGTTTGAAGGCAGATAAGAGATGCAGTCCTTTGAAATACAGATCTGTCTAAACAGAAGAGTACTTTTTACTCCCATCTTTCTTAGCAGTGTCATCAAAAAAAGAGGGGGAAGAAAAAAGGTCAATAAAGAATCTGTGATTAAAGCTCCTTGAACAGCAGCTATGATCTGATATCAGGGTTGATGTAATGGAAAGTGACACTAATCCGCTCATGCATGCTCATTTAAATTTGCTTTAAAATCAGACAAGGTCCTCTCGCATGTTTGATTATTTATAAAGACTAAGAGCGATAAAGACAAGCAGCTGCCTCACTGCAGGGAATTTAATTTCACTGAATTTATTTGAAAAAAAAAAAAAAAAAAAAAAAAAAAATGGAGGGAAACATGTTCCAGGACAAGCTTTATTAAACACAGTGGTAAACACAAACAAAAGTATTAAAACAGGAAGGATTTCAAAAACAGATTTTAAACGAATGTACAGGTCACTGAAAAAAAAAAAAAAAAAGATGGCCACCAAATAAATACCAACATCAGGAACAATAATTTCATAACTATAAAACAAGAGACAGTATATATAACCATATAATAGGACATGCGTAGAAGTTTGATTGCACCATTTGTACCACACATCGACTACAACACAAAGGCTGCATAATAACTGACATGGTCACTGAGCCGCCTGAACAACCCATCATAGAAAGGCTTTACATCAGACAGAAAATATCAGCCAATACCTTTTTAAAAAAAAAAAATTATTTGAAAGCTTGGTCATAAACTGTTAAATAATGGTTTAGCAACAGATGCAGCGGTGTCTACCAGTTGACTGAAATGATCCGTCTACATAACAGAGAGCTGCAGTCCGAACTGTAGCGAGGTGCTGAATATTAGAAGCCTTTGTGGAAACGACTGCTTCAAGCTCTCTTAAGCCCAGGGGGGATCCACAGCACAAAGACACAACAGCCATGTCAGGAAGATATTTCCAAGATAACGAGAACTCGCATCATGCGTTAAATAGTGAAAAATACACATAAAAGAAGAATGGAAAAATAGCTTTCTTTGGACAGGGCCAGCCTGTGCAGTTTGATTACTTGTTCCCCTCAGTCCCACTTTATTTATTTTTTATCTTTATCACACACTAGCCCTTAATTAAAAATTGTTCACTTTTGGAGTTAATCTCTAATTTGAAAAGTGTGCAATTGCCAACTCACTCAAAAAACACAGTTATAGAGCCTTGCATAAGCATTCATAGCCATTCAGCCTTTTCCCCCCCACATTTTGACAAGTACAGTTTTTCATTTGGGTTTCATTTGAAAGGCCAACGCGGAGTAGTGCGTTAATGTGAAGTGGAGTGGAAAGCATGCACAATTTTTATTTTAAAATCTAAAAAAGGTCACCAGCAGTTGGGTTAAATGTCATTTACTCCGACATCCAGTTGAAACAATAACCCTCAGAAATAATCTAATTGTTAAAAAAAAATACAGTCCCATTGTCACCAATTTAACCCCAGAATAAATCCAGCCGTTATGTGAAGGTCTCACAGATTTGCTAGCAAACATAAATTTTACTGCACTGTTTAACCCACCATCTGAATTTAGAGCAGAGTAACCAAGAACTGCAACCAAGACATGAACATCAGCAGAGCTGCAGATGAAAACAGCTCCATTCATATTGATTTGGATGCAAATTACTCTCTTTGGGCAGATCTAGCAAACATGGAGAGGAACATACTCTGGCAAAGCAGGATGCTAATTAAACTATTATCTGCAGCTAACTAAACCAACGCTGCACATCACCCTGAACACGCCATCTCCATGGTGAGACAAAGAGGTGGCAGCATCACACAGCACAGAGATGAAAGATTTAAGATCAGGGAACAGGTTCATCCTCAAGCAGGACAGCAACCTTGCACATAGATCCAGAGGTTGTAGATTGGAACTGGTCAAAGTATTTTGCACTGTCAGAATGCGAAAAAGTTTCGGCAATGTGAATACTTTTGCAAGACGCTGCAATTCCTACGCCATCAAAAAGCCTAACGTTTTCAGCCAACAGAAGCGTGTTCCCTTCTCCTCCCTTTTTTTTCCCCCCTTATTTGTTTTTGTCACCGGCTCTTCCAAAAACCAGCGACTGCACAGAAGAACGGGCAGACATGAGCTCAGCAGCTGGTTTGTACAGCAGAGATGGTTTCAATCAATGACGTGTCTGTCCACCGACCACTTGGAGCACGACAGTAATCACGAAGCTGCGTCTTTTATTGCCACACCTTGTATCACGAGCACTTCAATCGTTATTGCTTTACGGTCAGAAGCGCAGAACTCACAGCTGCACAGACACACAACCATGAAGCCAAAGATTTAAGCCGATGATGAAAAGCGTTCGATTTTTGCTCCGTCGTCGTCGTTCTCGCCAGCAGTGAGCGACGCTTGTTGGAGGTCAAGAGATTCAAGTGTGCGCGAAACATAAGCTATAATTTGTCTTGGAAGAATGGAGTTGCATTTGGAGTGCTACATTAGATCAATGCAAATCCACAGGCATTTTACAGTATTGGTAAATCTCACTGACCTTCATGGGAACATGGAATAAAAAGACATTTTTCAAACTGCAAACAGTTCTTTTCTTAAGAAACAAAAACCGTCATCATTGCAATGCTACAACTCTTTTCTGAAGAATATTTGATGAAACAAAGCATATCTTTAGCATCAATTGACCCCAACGGCGGCGATTTGACATTTTAAAATCGGCCTTGAAACCTGGAAGCAGTGAAGCCTCGTAAATAAGACCCACACAGCTTGAAGCTCGAATGTTTGTGATGCTGATTTCAACAAAAGCCTCTTTGCCTTTCTATTTCTGATGCATTAGCAGAAGTCGGGGCTCCTGCAGTGAATGGAGCCCATTTCAAACCTCCACACATGTTTCCCGGTCTTACGTCTGCTGCTATTTTTTTCAAATCCAGAGCCTCGCCAGCCTTTGCTACTTGCTCGACTGGAAGCTGGTGGAGCAGAGTCGTTCACAGCCACGGCTCTTCTGACCTGTCCAGGTGGACGAAGGCTGGACTCTGAACACACAGCAGCGCTGCTGCCTTCTGCCGCTCGCATCGCCACTGAGAGGGCAAGAGAAGCTCTCTGTGGATTGTGCCTCTGTTCTCCCTCTTTATAATGTTCCTTCATCAGGAAAGGGTAAAACAGGCGACACCTCACACACCACGCTTGGGAAGGGACGTACGGGATTTTTGCTAATTCCCCAACAGTTTCATGCTAGATTTATTTAAGTACTTAGAAAAATATCTATTCAGTTTTTCTGAGAGGCATTGACGTAACAAGGTTTGAAAATCGCACACTTCCATATCGGACTAAATCGAGATGTGCCTGTAGATGCGTAAAATCAGACAGATGGAGCACTGTTCTAGTTTGTCTAGAGGTGGGAAAATAAAGAAAGTTCAATGGACCCAAACCTTTACTGTTTTAAGTTTTGTTTCAAAAGTGAAATAATACTAATAATAAAAAAATAAAATAAAATACGGATGTGCGCTCGAAGGTTTCAGGAGAGAGCGGACAGCTGAGTGTCCGCCTCTTCTGAGGGTTCGTTTGGTTTTCGGGGGGGTGAGGGAAGGATTCAGCAGGAGAGCCCTGATAAAACCATCATGCCCACCCCCCTTCCCCGAGACCAAATAGGCTGGGGCTGGGAGTCGCGTACGAGGACCTGGAGCCCCTCCTGCCCTCCTTCACATCACAGAGCAGCTCTTGGTCTTTTCCTTCTTGAAGGAGGAGGAGAGCAGGTCCGACTTGCTGGGCAGGTGGAGGAGTCTTTTGGAGAGGCGGCGGGTGGGGCTGGACTTTGGGAGAGGCTGCAGCTTGTTGATGCAGGCCATCGCCGCGGTGCGAAATACGCTGTGAATGCTTTTCTCCGAGGTGAAGGCTGAGCACTCCAGATAAGCTTCGGCACCAAGCTGCTTGGCCATAGCAGAGCCCTGTAGCAAATGATGTCAGGAAATGCTCTGATTTAGCATCTTGCAAGATGCAAAGTTACATTTTTTACCCCCCTGCATGCAGTGCAGTGGGAAAGCATTTCCATCTGAAAAGTTTCTTCTCTTTTTGCTGTGCTGTCACACTTTAATATGTCAAAAATAAATCTGTTTTCTAACTAGTGAATAAAGTCAACATGCAGTTTTCGGAATGATGATTTAGTTTACAAAGAGAAAAGAAAACAACCCGAGCCTCGTGTCAAAAGTAATCGCCCTCTTGTTAAAAACTGAATCAACTGTGACAAAACTTTTTTTTGTTTTGCATTGTTAAGATCAGTTGATGAATGTCTCATCAAACCTAAGACAAAGGTTTTGGACAGTGTAGGCCTCACTACATCTGCTGTGAAACTAACTCAACATTTCAGGAAAAGAACTGACAGACATGGTTGTGGTTCTGTGTTGGTCTGGAGTACTCGCTATAATTGATAGAACCAATCAGAAACTCATCTGACTTGTCAACAGGATGTCTGACTATCAGTTACTTTAAGCTCAAGAACATTTAGGTTATCCAGTAGCAGAATGGGCCAGATCCACCTCAGAAGGGGTACAAAAAAAATAAACAAGCAAACAAAAACAACTGAGGTTTTGGAGAGGCCTAGTCAAAGTAGGGACTTAAATGTGATGGAGATGGTCTGGGGTGGCTGTTTCTGCTCAAAATCCCTCAAACGTGACTAAACCGAAACATTTCTTCAAAGAAGAGTGAGGCAAACATAATCTACTTACAAGCGGATGGCAGCACAAGCACTTCTCTGGTTTACCACACAGAGTCAGGTTGCTTTGAAAACTGCATTTAGCATTTACTCGTGGAGTCTCATTTTAAAATGTGTTTGATATTTGATATTTAAGTGTCAAGTATAATTTAACATTTTAAATTAGAACAATTACTCCAGAGAGGACAAAATGAAACATTTTCACTTTAAAATGCGTTTCTTTGACATTTAAGTACAAGTTAACATTTTAGATTAGAGGACAAATACTTTCTGACGACACTGCGTAGTAAAGCAACAGCCTAAAAGCTTAAGAAACTTCTAAAAAAGGCATCAAGAAGAAGGCATGTTCTAACAGATTGGTTAGTTCATTCTGAAAACCCATTTCCCACTCATAATCATGTCTCCTTTAGGTGGAATTAACATTTTTCAACCTCTCTTACAGGAAACTACAGACATAAAACTAATTGCTTTCAAAATGAAAAACATAAAACATAGTTTTGTTGTTCAAACAAATCCCTCCTCACTGGGATAATTTTATCAAATGTAAAACGAGGTGGATGAAGACGATAACGACTATTACGCCCCATCACTGATCCCCTTCAGTTTCTGATTGTATTTGTAAAATACTTCGTGACAGGAAAACTAATGAGTCAGCAGCCAGCTTTGAGCCAACTCTCTTTTTACATACGAAATGTTTTCAATTGATCTGATGGGAGAAATACGGCATTACTGAGCGAATGCAAGCAGCAAAGGTTTCATTTAGCAGGGTTCATATTTTCAAACTGGCAAAGTTACTACAGAGTTGACACCAATTTCATTTTTATTTTTTGCCTCTTATATTTGTGATCAATGTGATCAGCACATTGCTAGCTGCAGTTAAGTGCAGCTAGCATTGCTAAAACGGCAGTGTCTAAGTATATTCCTTATAAAAAAAAAATACATCCTTACCTCTGAGATTTCCAACTTACAGCTTTTTAAATCCAACATTTTCCATCACACATTCACTTTTTAATTTTTTCCTCCATAGTAGCAGATCCTATACCAAACAGATCTGTTACGAGCTGGCAGTGTGTGCATATGGGGCTTTCTCTGACCTAAAACTAAATCTTGATTATGAGCTGCTGACCTGTCGGGACTGATTAGGCTGAAAATCATCTGGTTCTGGTCAACACTCCAGTCTTGGTGCATCTCTACAACTTATTTTAATTTCTTTCATGAGAAAAACACACATTACAAAAAGAAAAATATCTGATCCTCCTGCCAGTTTTAGTTTCGCCTTACTGAGATACAAGCTCCCTGTGGTTCTCACCTGCTCATAGGTAATCGGAGTCTGTTTCAGGTTGGACAGCTCCATGAGCGTGCACACGTCGGTGCGGAGGTCTATCTTACAGCCAATCAGCAAGATTCGAGTGCTTGGACAGAAGTCCAGGATTTCACTTTTCCACTGTGGACACAAACGTGTAATTGTTAAGTTCTCTTTTGTGAGAGTATTTAAGATGACAGTATTGAAAATAAAATTAATAATAATAAAAAGACATTACCTTTTTGAGACTGCTGTCCATTGTGTCTGGGCGGCTGATGTCAAAGCACAACAAGACGGCGTCAGAGTCACTGTAGCACAGGGGCCTCACATTGTCATAGTACGGAGAACCTTAGAGGGCAGAGAGGGAAAATACTATTAATGTGGTTAAAAGCAGGAATGTGCAATTTCTAAAGAGACAGAATCTCTTTAGAAGATGTTTTAGATTTCATATTTTACCTTAGTTTCATTTTTTTAGCTCCTTAATCCCCAATTAACCATTTGACTCTCATTAGTTATGAAACATTAAAACCTTGATGAAACAAAAGGCAAATCTGACCAACATCCACTAGATAGAAATAAATAATAGATATTTTTACAGTCAATGGGAGGAGAATACAGTTGACAGAATGCAGTTCCTGTGTGAAGCTTTTCCAAGAACAAAGCCTCTTTTTTTATCTGAAAAAATGTTGGGTACAAAAGATCCAAAATGGCAAATATTTAAAATTTGACAGAGCAACATCACCATCACCCTTCTGGGAAACAACAGCATTTATATCCGTACATGGTTGTCACTTGGCAAACAAACAAACAAACAAACAAAAAAAAAAAAACAGCATTTGAAGATCTGGCTTCCAGGAGTTTCAAACTGCAGCTTTTCTTTCTTTTTTCTACATCTAGCTGTACTGCAGAGCTTACGCTGGCTAGCTTCTGTTGAAACAGGAACAAGTGAAGATTCATTTCAGCTCTTTTTTTTATAACATTCCTGTTCTACAGCAGCACTACTTTGCCGCTGACTTATTATCTATTGCATTGTTTCAGTTAAATCACTAGACTTTATAGTCACCACAAGGGAGTGCAGCCGCCCCCATTCCGGTATAATGATTGGAGATATTTTCTTATTACTCTCAATGTTGCTTTACAACATGTGTAGACGTTTGCCTAGTGAGCCAGTAATTTTTGTATAGAAAGAAAATAAAAAATAAATCAGCAAGCAGCAGTAGGGTTTACATGCGACCACCATTGCTTCTTCTTGATTAGCTTCACTTTTCTGTTCTTGAAGCTGCCGTTTTCCTTGCCTCTGTACCCTCTGCTGGTATTTCAGAGAAGATGACAATCGGTCACTAAATCCTCATTGATCTTCCCGTGCACTAGATTATGCAAGTGGAACGGTGGGGTTTGGGGCAGGCAGACGCTCCCACTCATGCTCAGAATCCTTAAGTAATCCACCCCCTCCGCCCCCACCCAAAAAAAAAAAAAAAAAATCCTATGCTCGGCAGCAGTACCTCCAGTCCCTCTGTTTCCACAGCAACAACCTCAGAATCCACTGTCTACATCAGCCATTCCTCCTCCTCCCACCTCTCCATAAAGGCTTGCCCTTGCTGCCAGTCAATCACTTCAGACCAGAAAAACCAACCCATCCACCTACTCCTTCTCTGCATTAGAGACTGAGACACACATCCAGTAGATATATATATAAAAACGACACACCTGATTACACACAAGACTCGCTATCTAATTTTGGCTCCATCCAGAGGTGAGCCTGATCCGCTATCTGATGAAACAGAAGAAGAGTTCTGCTCAGGGGGGATTAAAATGTTTACTTCAGTCCCCGCGCGGACCCCGTTGGGATCCGCGCGGGGACTTATCCGCGGCTATAAAAGGTGCATGCCTTTTATAGCTGCAGATAAGGGAAGAAGCGTGTGTAATCACTCATTAGACATTACACAACTGTCCCGATTGTTTTCTGCAGAGGAACATCGGAAGAAAACACACAAAAGCACACGCAAACATGGATGAGTGCATGTGAAGCAGTTTCATGAATATTTAATGATCCTTCGCATTATCAAAGGTTGAAAGTGAATTTGCCAGCTGCTGGGTGCTGTGAGTGGAATAATGACAAGCTGTGATGAAATTCCTCAGGAACCGGAGTCCTGAAGAACAACGTGAACATGGTGGGAAAAGAACAAAAGGACGCGCTCGTTTCATTCCGACTCTGGTTCTGTGCTTGAAGAAATAAACATGCTTTCAATGCTGTCATTTGAGACCTTGTTATTTAGATTTTTTTTTTTTTTGCAAGAGAAATGCTCACACATAAATCCTCAAAGCTTTTTTTTTTTTTAAATCTACCTCAAGTAAAGAAAGTTGTCAATACGTAAAAGCCAGAAATTAGTCTCGTTTTAGTGATTGCACAAAAAATAAAGAGTGCATTCTGGCTGAGGAAAATGTTTGGCCACACTGCTCATGTTCAGCTGAAAAAATGTTTGCTGGGTTTTTTTCATTGTGCAGCATCTCAGTGACATCAGGGGCTGAAGCTTTGGCCAGGCTCAGGAACCATCATTTAATTTTCAGCCAGGAATGTTTTTTGGTTATCGTCGTGTTTCAACATCTAGTTCTGCTTCATCTTTAAGGTTTTTTTTTTTTTTTTTTAACAGCTCGTCTCATATTCCTCTTTGATACACAGCAGATTTCACAGGATCATGAGCTGACCAGGTTCTGCTGCAGGAAAATATTCTGAAACCATGACACCTCCACCACCATGCTTCACAATTGACATTTTTTTTTTTTTTTTTTTTGCCATTTGATGGATTCTGTTTATGCCAAGTAACCCAAAAACTCTTCCAATTAAGACTAACCTGACCAAAGAACAATACTCCAGAAGTCCTGGTCTTTGTATTTTTCTTAGCATGCCAACAATTCCTCTGGACATCTTACTTATCATTACCAGTAAGGTAATAATAATAATAAGGAAGACATGAGGAACATGTTAGCAGTTTCATTTAGAAATTCCTGGAGGCACATGGAGTGAAAGGGAGCAGGAAGCTCCCATGTGAGCCAACACAGAGGAGGGAGCGTCCGCCCCAAGAGGATATTATTGCTTGCGTGGTCGAAATATGCAAAAAGGCAAGAATCCCTTCCACACTGCCATCCTCCCCCAATCCTGCGGCCCGTATAGCCGTCCTCTACTTCACATGACTGTGACAAAGATTAAACACTCAGCCTGGGACAAAAAGTTACTGTGACTGCATTTTAACAAAAGCAACAAGCATCATCAATATCCATTTAAACCAAGAGTCACAAACGGCCTGAAAGAAAGTCTGCATTCAATGGCTTTTAAATCGGCACACATTTGAATCAGAACAATCAGAGGATGTGTTTCAGTGTCTCTTATCTGTCATGCAGGAGAGTCTGCAGGGTGCTCTAAAGATCTCCTCCTCCAGTAAGAGGTTATCTCACAGCCAGGAAACAGGATGTGATTCTGCATTAAACAACCCCTGATCTAAATGCAGCAATCAATAGAGGGCTGCACCAAGGGGGCCCCGAGAGCCTTTGCATCTAAAGCTGACAAATACGTTATCCTGCCAGCATAGAGGGAGAGAGAGAGAGAAAAGATTAAGTAGGATGTTCCAACCTCCCCGTTTTAGATCTCTGCTGCTACAAACCGAAGGATGATTTGGACCGTCAGATCGATGCCCATGCGGCGATAAGCAAGGCCAAACGTTTCCTCTCCCCCCCCTTTCCTTACGACAGATGGAGAGTTTCTGAGGCATGAAACATGCGGAGCAAAGCTGACTAACTGGGGGATGGCAGATGAAGAAAACATTGCAAGTTTTGTTGCTGAGATCAACTTCATACGTGTTTAATGGTGCAGCACCCACAGAGGAGAGAGAGCTGGAGATGGGAGGGTGAGCTTTACGGGCTGGGAAGACGACTGCCGGAGCACACAGGTGGGGGAAGGGAGAACATCGTCTCCCCTGTGTGCATGGGTGACTGAGACAGAGCTTGTGCATTCAATCAAGTGAGCGACAGAGTCCATTTTCATCATTAGCCGTCCTCTCGCTATCAGAATGCACAGGTCAGACAGACTAATGATCGAGGGATGGGATGACTCAGATTGTTTTTTGTTTTTTATTGGGTGGGTGGGAGTTTAAGTGCTGCCACAGCTCCATCACTCGCACTCAGCCGACTGAAGCTGTGGCGCTTCTTCAGCCGATAACTGCAGACATTAGTTCACAGTCAAAAGAAGAAACGCACAAAGCTGCCTCAGATTGTCATTTTACAGTTTTGCATCTGCCAGGGTTTCTGTTTTTAGAGGGGGGGAAATAATTTAGTTCCCGAAATACTGGTTTACTGTTGGAATGAGACTAAGCCACTTTTTTTGATACTTTAGTTTATTTATCATTAGTATCCCGACCAACCCTGTGAACCTCAGCACCTCTCTTTTGTCCTGACTTTGTTCTAAACTGAAAGGCAACCATCAAAGAGGTTATAACTGAGAGCAAATGTCAATGTTACATCATAAAATAAATATCTTTGATTTAGTCTAGCACTGTTTAACTTTGCTGAGGACTTTCTTCTTTTAAATCTTGATATTTTTAACATCTGCATCACAGCCCCCTCCAGGCCCGGAAGAGCATTATGTCTCCTTTGGCTGCAATTCACACAGTAAAGTTTTTTTTTTTTTTTTTTTTTTCCAAAATTCCTGAAACTTACACAACTCTGGATATTTTTGACATAGCCCGAGTCCTGAGTCACAGAAGAATTACATGAGCTGCTTTAAAGTGATGAGAAGAGCAAGAACTGTGCAGAGAAAGCAGGAGAACAGTCAGGTCACTCTTGGAGGATAAGGTAGCTCCAACATTTAATAAAAACAGAAACCCTTTTTTCAGGTGAGTGAACACATTCACTACACCAAAATGAAACCAGGTTGTGCTAACCACAAAATTTTTTAACAGTGCAATTTGTTACTGACGGAAGAAAGCTCAAAATAGCCATTTTTAGCATCTGAGGTATTTCCAAATAAAGCAACAAGAAACTTTTAAGTTTTTTTCCTAACATACTAATTTAAATTGACCAGTGAGAGGAATCATCTTCACAATATCAGACTGAAGCTAAAAACACAAAGAGTCGTAGTGCAATATAGAAATATATTAAATATTTCTAAAATGCAAATTATTCTTTATTCAGTTATTTGAATAAGTAAAAAAAACACATCTACTTTATGTTCTCTAAATAAACCGTAAGATGTTTCTAAAGAGAGGAGGATGTCTTGTTTGGGAACTCTGTGGTCTTATAGTGATATGGCTCCGTTTTCACAATAAGGTTTTACATGGACTGTGGGTCACATCCACTTTTATTGGCTGGAACAATTTTTACACCAAGTTTGAGATGGATGCAGATCGGGAGGCAGCAGATGGACTGAGCCTCTGAATCACAAAGGTCACCTTAGCTTAAGGTTTCTGACCAGGATGCTGCTGGGTGTCCGCCCTCAGGAGATTTCCCAGGCTCATCCCACTGAAAGGAGACCCAGAAGCAACCGAAAGGATTACATTATCCCCTCTGGCCTGGGAACATCATGACAATCGGTCACTAAATCATCCATCCATCATCCAAAAAGGAGCTGGAAATTGTGAACATCTGGGATTTCCTCCTGGATCTGTTAAATCTGCAACCTGATCTCTGACAATCAGATGACACGTGAAGCTCTAAAGATATGACACTATAAGCTGAGCAGTATTAAATGTTCTGTTCAAACAATATGTGTTCTCATTTTGAGTTAGACTGGAAATAATAGTTGCCAAATTGATGGCATCAATCTCAATTGTACACGATACAGTAAGCAATTAGATTACACTAAATTCTACCAAACTCAAAGGCCTAATAAGCAAGATCACTGACCCTGAAATAAATTAGTTAGTAACACCACCAATAATGAGATTCATTATTAAGTATTCATGAGTTACAGCCAGTGGACAGTGTTTGCTTTCCCCTCCTCCTCTCTCCGCCCTGTACGTCCGATCAGATCAGTCTGATTAAAACCGGAGGATTGATTTTAGCCTGTAAATCCATGGCGGAGCTGAGAGAAGGAGCTGCCTGCCGTGTGGAGCCGGTGAATCGATGAGGGGGAGCTGGGATAACGAGGAGACGCTCTCGCCGTGGACGGGCCACAGCAGCACAACTCCGCGCAATTAGCGGATATTACAGTAACAAAACAAAATGCAGAGACGGTACACAGAGACTAACGCACATTGCTTTAGTCTGTCATCTATCGTCAGGAGTCAGAGGGAACTGACGTTCTGATCTCAGTGAAACACAAAGTATGTGTACAGAGGCGAATGATTTGTATTAGATTACCATCCATCCAGCTAGCCATCCATTTGCTATACCAGGTGACTGCCTCTCATCTGGACATGGACAGGTCTTGTTGAGCTTACATAGTGTTAATTAGTTAAAGGACTAATTGGGATCCTGTACTGGAATGTGCAGGTTTGGATAAGTAGGGGGAAAAAATGGCACCCTATAGGAAAAAATGTTTGAGTTTTCAGACTTAACTGTATTCTCTAAAATTTTTTAAATCTAAATTTTCACATTTTAGACGTCAATATGTACATTTTTGATTTAATGACTGAGAAACTCAAAGCTAAATACACTCTCCAAAAATAATAATAATAAAAACCAATTTCACAGCCTTTTCTGTTTCAAGACAACCAGACTTTTTGTTTTCAAACCATTCAGGTCCAGATGCTAGCCAACAAAACATTGTACTTTCTACTGCATTTAACAATACAGTAGAAAGTACTAAAAGACCCCAAATGGTGCATTACAGAACCTGTTTAGTCCTAATTTTACAAGTCTAAGAGACTGGTAAAAGTGCTTTAAGCTGATTCATGATTTTTAAATATACCATCTGACAACTACAAAAGCATTGCGAGTATAAATGGAACCCTGCTTTGCAAGTAGATGGACGGTGGATGTACTCATGCATGTTTGGGTCAGTTATGTCCACTGGTCCTCTTCAGAGTCTTAATCCCCTGGATGTTGCTGTTCCAGTGCGTGACCCGAGCAGCATATGGAGGAAAATGCAGGTCACCACATTTTCTCCACTCCCTCCTCTCTGTCTGCTCTAGAAAACCTCTCTGCTCAATAGGAAACCACATCATCCCCGGCCGGGCAGCAGGCCCACTCCCACTGGCCAGACCAAAGGTCCACAGTCTGGGATTAAAAGATGGCATTTGGTCTGGGGCAGGAATTATACTGCTCCAGACCAATTACATTTTTATCCATTTATTTTCCGTTTTTTCTGCGAGAGAGTGAAAACATTCGCTCATACATGTGGGTCTGTTATATAAAGGATTTGTCCTAAAACCGATGCACATGACACGCGAAAACACAAGTAAACAACACTCGCGGCCATGGGATTTGCTCCGTCACGCTGACCCAGTAATTCTGGAGACGTGAACATGGAGGGCGAGCGATGAGCACTGAGCAGAGAAGGTGTGGAGCGGCGAGCAGAAGGGGAGTCTGACTCCAACAGGTGCCGCAGACCCATGATGGCAGGATTCAGGTCAGCACAACTCCAGGGATATCTACAAAGACACATTGACCCTCTTTTCAAGCTTGTGGTGGAAGCGAACACATGATGCCCAAAGTCACCATTGAAAGCAAGTGAACTGGAATAATAAGTGTGTTTTTTTTTTTCATTCTGTACATGAAAAGTATTTGGAAATGTGTCATTCCTTTACCAAGCCACAAAGAATAAAAGGGCAATGAGGCATCCAGTGTCCTTTCACAGCAAGGCAAAGCACGAAGCATGGCAAACGTATTCAGGCCCCTTACTCTTTATTTTTTTTCCCCCACATTTCTTCTTGATACAAACAAAAACATCAGGGCTTCAATGCATTTCTTAGAATTGTGTCACATAGCAACATAAACCAGTGAATTCCCATGGTTTGGAATAAAGTTTTCAGGACTTTTTTTTTCTAAATAGAAATCTTAAAAGCATCTCCTGTATTAACACATTGCTGCAGCGAGTCTTTGTGGGTATGTTCAGCTGAAAGCGTTCTCTTATTTAGCAATAATTGTTAGTCAAATGACTTCAAGTATTGCTTCTGAAAGGTTTCCTTCCAGGCTAAAAGTTCCTTTACTTTGGTGCTTCTGCAAAAATACAAAGTCAAACACACAGCAAAGTGGGGGGACAACTGCTCTAACCTTCTGCAAGTTCAAGGTAGGATTTAATGGGAAAAAAAAAAAAAAAAAAAGAAGAAAGCAAGAAAAATCTCAAGAAATTTTGGAAAACCAAAAAAAACTATTTGTCAACATAAGAGGAATAAAAACAGATTGTTGTGTCTAACCCCATCTTCCATTCTCACCACAGTGAAAGAAAGCAACCTCAATATGAGTACAGTGTATTCAGGATGATGTGCAGTACTTTGCCACACACAGCACCGAGCATGTGTCGTCAGACCAGAGTACTGTCTTCCTCTCCCGACTTGCTGCGTCTTCCTGCCACTATTACAGGCCGGCCAGGAATAGTGCATCCAACTAATAGTTGTTCCGTCATCAGAATAACTAGATAAAGATGTCCTCAAGTGCCTTCACTAGATTTTATTGAGGTGTATTCAAGTAAAGGGGCGGTGAATACTTATGTATAAAAGACTTATTAGATTTTTATTTGTAAGAATTTTGAAAACCTGGAACGAATACTTCAGCGAGGAACCGTTTCTCATAGCGTTCAACTCTGATACGTACGCTTGTTAATCCTCCTTATTGCTTCAAATGTCTGTCCAGGTAATAATGTCTGTCAAAGAAGCTCATTAAACGCATCGGTCATCGCCCTGTTGCGCATCCCTGTGCGCTGCAGGCAGTGCTGAAGGTCTTAGTCCACATGGGAGCAGGCGGTCGGTTACCTGAGGTGTCCCACAGACTCAGCTCCACTCGCTGCTCCTCCAGCTCCAGACAGGCTGTGTAGTTTTCAAACACCGTGGGTACGTAGGTCTAGGGAGTAATTAGCAACAGGATGCAATTAGCAGGAAGGTGTCAGTCACTACACACAGTGGAAGTTTGTTTAGTGCAACGAACACGAGAAAGGGAAAAACAAAAAAACAGCAACAACAAAAAAACAAAAACATGTCCTTTGCTGTGGTCAGTCGCTAGGGTGCAACTGGATACTATTATATATATATATATATATATATATATATATATATATAAACAGAGTCTATTTTTAATCATAAAAAGAGACACTGTAATAATCTCCATTCGGAATACAATATAAAGCTTGTGCAAAGTGTATAAGTCAGTGAGCACAAAACAAACCAAAATAGCCAAATCCCAGTAAATGCGCATGCAACAGCGCACTCGGGTCCCCCCCCTCTCATTTTCTGCTTTTTGTTTATATTTCACAACACTTTGATGTTTCATAAAATCATAAAGTATCTTCTTGTGGATGAATCCCAGTCATGTATTATTATTATTATTTTACAATTATAAGTCATATTGCATACCTCCGGGTAGCAGTCCTTCGCCAGCACTTGCAACATCGCCGTTTTTCCGCATTGAACATCTCCCACAAGAACCAGTTTACATCTCACCACCAGCGGTTGCGTATTTCTCCTTTCCTTCATGATGACGAACACGCTCCAGAGTTTTCTCCAGGAAAAAGAAAATGGTATAGACAAAATCAAATAATACCACTACTACTACTACTACTACTACTAATAATAATAATACAAAAACAAGCTGTAGAACAGCTCAGATACAGTCCCAGTAAGATAAAGCGTCCCAGCTTCTGTCTGTTGGAGGATGGCCGCAGTTGATCTGATTGAATTTGCCACTGCGGCTCTTTATACGGGCGAGAAGCAGCCAATAGGAGCTCACAGTCCACAGGCTCTGTAACGTCGCTTCACTGCGCTCAGGAATAATACGAGGGGAACTACAAACATGCACATTATTCAGTCAGGGATCATCCATCTATTTTTTTTTTTTTATGTATTAAGAATTTTCTTCGGGAATATCATTATAGAGCTCTATTAGCCACAAAGGAAAACATTTTTATACACTGTAAAAACGAATTTTGGATTGTGTTAAATTTCAGTCATTAAAACCTATATTAAAGCTAATCAAATATAATTGTATATGTAAATATAATGTGCAATAATATTTTATTGCACATAAATAAATCCGATCTCAAGAAGCAATCAGGAAAATGTGAAACACCTGTAGCTAACAAGCTAAAGAAGGTGGCGAAGAAAGGGAGGATGAACACTGACAAGGGAATTCCTGAAACTAATATAAACAGAATAGAAACTGCTTAACTAAGTAAACTAGACTCAAATACACAAATAAGAGATAAGAATAAACTAAACACATGAAGGAAGAAACAATACGATCTCATTATAATAAACAACAGGGAAATTATCAAAACAAAACAATCACATTGTACCCAAAGTTCAAACACACATAGATCATAACTTGAAATGGTGAAAATCTGCTTTAGTATTTACCTAATTCATTCTAGGTGTTGTTTCTAACTTCCCAGACCAGCTAATCTAGATTTATTCTTATAACGATTCAACAGAGCTTTATTTCAAAAACACCCAACAAATCTATTTCATATATAATATGACCATCACCAAGTGACATACTTTATTAATTTTAACTGTTTTGGCAAAAAAAAAAAAAAACCCTTCCTTTTCATAGTGTAATCTTTCTTTGAATTGAATGCTATCCTGCGAATAATGTCAGGTAAAAATTGTTTGGATAAACGTCATGATAAATTAATGATTGTTCCCTTTGAAAACAATGCATTTTAGGAAACATTAAAGAAATTACCATACGCAGGCAAAACCATGATCTGTCACTTGACCCATTCCAAATTGATTGGTTTAATGACTTAAGTGGCTGGATCGATTACCAACCAGCACAGGGATAATTGGTTTAATTTTCTCTTCACCTCAAGATAGTCGTCTTATTAAAAGCATAAACTTTCCCTCTACAACAGCTCTGTATTTTTATCAATGAAACTCAGTTGATTATTGAATTTAAAATGATCCCACATAGTTTTAATAATGATTAGAAGTAGTTCCTGTGTCTTCTGTTGACCTTAGGTCCTCTCACACCACATGGACTAGAATGGTGACTGTTATCACTGGGGAGCTACTGGGTCAAAAAGGACCGGGTGGTGTGAGCCCCGTCCTTTGACATCATTCAGAAGTTTTCACACACGAGCACCAGAGATGTAGTTTGACACCCTGGTTTTAATTGTGTTGAAACAATGAGACGGACTGAAAGATAAAATCAATTAGCTGCCCTCCCTGATGTCTGACGCTCCCCCAGATGATTTACATACTGATGTCGGTGATCGTTATTGGCGCTTTGTCCCAGTGGGAAGAAGCAATTTGGTTTTGTTTGCAAACAGCCCCCTTCTTCAGATCTCCAGTGCTAAAACCTGTTTCTGTTCCTGTTGTTGATCTTCAGACTGTGGGAAACTGTAGATGATGCAGCAAATCATTGCCATCGGTATCCGCATCTCAGCTCCTTACTCTCTGGTTTTATTTAGACAAGTTCTCTTCTTCACACTACGTTGTAAAGGAAAACTTAAACATTTCTCAGACTTTGCGACATGCTGAAATAACCCTACATCAAATTGTAATTTAATTAATTTTATCAAATAAATATGAAGGATGCTCTATTCATTATTGATATAGCAAACAATTGATTCTTTTATTTTTTTACTGCTTAGAGAGAGTTGGAAAGAGTTGAAAATAATAATTAAACAAATGCAATCACTGAACTCTTTCTGACCCTTGTTTACTTACTGCAGCATAAATGCATGTGGGATCACCAGATCCCCTCTGATGGGGGCAGAGAGACAGGTGGCTGTGAATAATAATCAGGTATAAAGTGACACCTTCCAGAGTGACCTGGCCAGATTGCAAGTCCATCACAGAGACACACAACCCTGCACACGCACGCACGCATGCACACACACACACGCACACACACGCACACCCACACACACACACGATTACTCACAAGGTCAGTTCTGAAATCTCCAATTAACCTAACAAGCTTGTTTTTATAAGCAAGAAAACAGGTGCAGTCAGAAAGCTGAAGCTCCAGAAAGACACAACTCAGATTTGAAATTCAGACCTTGCCGAGAACTTTCTGATCCACCTTATTCATACACCTTAAGACATTTTCAGTGGAAATAAAGGAGAAGTACAAGAACGTTAACATCTACTGATTGCATACAGAATCTCTTCCAGTCATGATGTCTCATCATGATAGACTGAAAAATTTAAAGTTTTGATGTTTTTTGCTTTTTTTTTATTTTAACAAATCTAAATCTGTCTATGTCCCACTCCACCTCAACATCACTCATGAACAAAATACTTAAGAAGGTATTTATTTATGCTAACGTACTTTGAGGCGAAGACTTTAACCCCCAACCCGAGGGAGCCGCCATCTTTTTTCTGTTGAGACTCACGGCTTTAGACTACCATCAACATTTAAAACCATCAGGAAACCCGAACCAGGACACGAGTATGGCTTCTCTTCACTTGGTTTTCCTGCCTTCATAACCGCACAATACACGCCCTCTGCTGGTGGATATGTGAATGTCTTTAAATAAATGCACACCGCGAAAGAATGTCACTGTAATATTTTTATTTACCCCCTCGTTCTCGCGTGGCGTTGACAGATACACACACCAAGCACATTTCATCATCAGATAATGTCGGACTGCTTTAGCCCTGTTGTCGGAAACCAGCAGCGTTGTTGGGATCACAGCTGGAGGTACATACGGCATACATTGAGTGCATTTATTGCATCAAAAAAAGAGAGAGAGAGAGAAAAAAAAAGCATCCATGTAAACAATAATAGTGCAATTATACCCCACCCCAACCGAGGAGATATCTTGATAGTCTCAGCTTGTATCTTATCAATACTAAACTTTATATTGCATCCAGAATTTAGGCCAGTGAAATAAATAATAGTAATAAAAACATTGTGCTTTGGATATGGAAAAAAATAGTTTAGTTACAATAGAATTATTCTGCAATACAACTCAAAAAAAAAACAAACAAAAAAAAAAACAAGGATCTGGTTTATCCAAGGTTTTATCCTAAGAAGGTCCTGTGCTCTTGGTGTTTTATCAGGTGGAAGGTATTAATCTGCAACCTGATGTATCAGAAGTGTCAGTCTCAGTGAAAGACATCTCTGGTCCTGGATAAAAAGTGCATCATATTAAAAACAGAGGATATCACAAACACATGCTTTCTGAGCTGTGCACTGTGAAAAAAACAACAACAAAAAAACAACAACAAAGTACTGAAAACTTTTTGTTGGTCAGAGTTAGCAACGTTTGCATGGAATTTAATACTAATCATTTACAGTATTTACATCTTATCTTTTATAATGCATATGTAAGTGGTTATGTAGGTCATGTTGATTTGCTCATGTGAGGATGATCCTTGCAGCCCTTCCGATGCAACAGGAGTACAATATATGCCATGCACATACAATAGGTTATTTACATGAGTTTAGATGAACATTGTCTCCTAATAATTTCGAAGCAGGTGCACTGAGATGGAAGTTTAAGAACCGTGAGGTGTCAAAAAAACAAAACAAAACAAAAAAAAACAAATGAGGCAAATTTGGAGACAGACTGTACCACTGCATGGCTTGCAATTTCAGACTGAGATTCAGCCAAACATCTTCAGTAATCACCATACTGTTTAAGGTCTGCCTTCTCACAATATTTAGCAGGAGGAACAGAATTTAAGTAGAAACAAACAATATAGTAGACAAAAGTCTTTACTATTAATGCGGCTTAATGTCAGTCTTTAAGTACATCAATTGTGAAAAGGAGATTGCACTGTCTTGGATTTCTTGTTTGTAATGCGGTCCGCACTGCACAGCTGAAACTTTTCTCTTTTCAAGGACAGAAAGTCTTCTATATTAATAGTAATCCGCAGAACTGACACAAAGATCTGAGTTTCAGACCAATTATTTGGCTTTAGTAAACACGATGCTGAACGAATGACTCTGAACTGGTCTGGACATGGATTCTGAAGCATTTTCATTCAGTCAGATGGATCTAGTATTTGAGGAATACGCCTGTGTTGCGAGCCGTTTAGCCTTAAATGTCTGAGCCACAGCGCGACTTTGATGACCCATGAGCCAAAATGCTTAGTAACGCGGCACGGAGGCTGAAACAAGCAGTGAGGACGACAGCAATGATCTTCGTTGCAATTGGTGTGAATAAAAATATGGTCAGCAGCAGAATGACTTTGACGAAGACTGTAGCTGTGTGTTTTCAGCCTTCAACAGTGCAAAGCTGAACTAAAAACACACAAGTTGCGACAGAGTATCAATTGCCGTCAACTAAAGAATGAAGACTTGAACAAAGCTTGGAGCTCAGTAGGAATCGGCTACAGGTTTTTTCTCAAGCGCTCAGATTGGTATCAGGGACAAAAACATCCTGACTGAAAATATCGACTTTCTAATCAACACAGATAAGTGTTTTACTTGCAGATCTTCACCATTCAGTCCTAAATCCTATGAATGTCTTGTCACAATCAGATTTGATTTTATTCCTACTTAGTTAATACAAGATTGCGTGATCCTCATTATGAAAAAAAAGAAAGAAAAGATAATTCCTCTCTGCGCAAACCTTAAAGCTTAATATCGGCAGCAAATGACATTTTCATCAGTAGTGGTTAAATTTACAAGAACTTGATTCTGTGTATCTCTCATTTGGACTTGTGTGAGAATATACTGTCTTAGGTTTAGTTCATGCATAAATATTAGAAATTCACAAACTTAATTAAAAACGTAACAATATAATTCTGTGAATAAAATTGTCTAAAATATTTAATAAATATGAATAAATGTGTTGGTAACATGTTGAGCTTCAACCAGTGGAGTTTCTGAAAATGCAAACCACATTTTAGTCAGAAATGACAGACGCTACTCCTTTGGGTTTTAGCCATATTGCATCCAGAACCACCACTGGCTACAGCTTCCCATGCATCATAAGATCATTTATTTAATAAATAACATACCTATAAGTATTTGGTGGTTGTCATTGTTACACAAACATCTTTACTTTTTTGGAAGGGGCAATGTGACTACGATCAGTGGACACATTTATTTTAAATTTAAAACTAAATGTGACCAATTTCCATCTGGTTTTATTAGTTAAAGGAAAAAGTTACAATCCCAGGGCTGGACTTCAACTGCCTGCGCATTTTACCGTAAGGACCCTTTAATCCACCAACACACCGGACTTAACTTACATTCACCAGCAGTGGCAAAGTCGTAGAAAATGTATGCTATCAGTGTTTGTTATACATTATTTGGATAAAAGCTACATGTAGAGATATGCATTTGGTATACTCAGAGCAAATATATGAGTAACAGATAGTTGTGTAGACTGTTTTAGTACAAGAGCAGACAGAAAGAAGAATCCTGGATAAACCAGGAGTGGAAAGTAAGAGGATAAAGGAAGACAAAATCGCTATTTTTTTCCCCCCCATGTGTCTCCATGCAAATGTGATACTGCAATGACTCTGACAGGAGCAAACGTACTTTTAAGGAAGCATTTTAGTTTAACATTTAAAATGGCAGCTCACTTAAAGCTGCAGACATGGAAGACATACATAATAGATTTTCTGTCACTCCTTGCACCAGCGAGGAAGCAAGGCGAATCAGACATTAAACCCTAAGAGCCCTGCACTGGAAACCTGGGGATGTGCTAACAGCTTTTCTGTGCCAGTGGTATCATGGACTAACATACCTCAGCCTCTTAGATATGTGATGCATCTCCGGTGAGAGATGAATCAGCCTTTGTGTGCTTCAGACAGCTACAGACACTCATGGGCTGGCTCATCTTTCATGGATATTAGGGATTTTTTTTTTCTTTTTTTCACCTTCTGAATTGAAGAAAGTGTGACATGGGAGGATTGGTGGTAAGGAGGTGAACAGTGACTGCACTGTTCCCCCGGTTTCTGTAAACCGGTGCTTTTGCAGCGGCAGAAAGCGGCCCTGAGTTATCAGTTGACGGTGGGAGCAGGGATGTCTGGCCCCTGGGGCAGCAGTGAGGCTGCAGGTGGGTGCATCTTCCTCCCTATGTGGAATATTTCTCCTCCTATCCCAGCTCACCACACTTCCGCTCTTTCACCCTTTGCGTGGACCCTGCTCTTCTCTCTGCTCCACATGTGGAGAAGGTGATGGCAGGCTTTGATGAGAGGAGGAAGGCTGCTGCCCCCTGGTGGTCCCTGTTCTCCATGTCCTGACTGTTCTGACCCCAGCCGACAGCACAGGCTGCACCTGCAGAAAAGAAAAAGAAAACACACACACACACACACACACACACACACACACACACACAAATGTGAGTGTTTAGAAATATTCTTTAACCTTTAGTCTGGCTTTGATGAGAGAACTACTCTCATTTGTCCTCATTTGCTTTCCACAAGTTTTTGTTAAGTAACGTTTTCTCAACTAAAAATGTTACTAAGGAATTTCTGAGGAGGAAATCAAATTACTCGATGAAACATCTTTTTAAGTAGGGTCTTGTGTGCAGCGAATAATGATCTTGATTTAGATAAGAAATCATAGGGATCCAGTTGCAAAGCAGTTTTCTGCCATCTTAGAACCACTCCTGTCTAAAGTGTCAGGATCTTTTTGGGAATTTTTCTGGGTTTATATTTTTGATCATTTGTTGTCTGTGTTTGACTTTAGTTATTCTTTGCTTTAATCAAATCAACATCCATTTCTGTCTTACATTAAGTCACTCTGTTATTAGTTATTTTAGTGAGATAATGTTTATAGTTCTGTCACCCTGGCTCCCCTTGTGTTTACCTCTGTATTTCTGTAAGTTGTTTTGAAACTATTAAAATTTATTTCATTATTTGTCTCCAGGATACTGGCTTGCATTTTGGTCCAGCCTCATCCATAAACACAATGACAGAAAGTTTTATTTCGGTTCATATGAACTGTTACTTTGCATCTGTTACAAATTCGTAGCCTGACAGTTTTTGTGCAGCATCAACCTTTATTCTAAATTTTGGGACATTTATAGTGAAACCCATGAAGACAGATGTCTAACAATCTGGACACAAAATAAGAATTTCTAGCATCTCTTTCTGTTCCACACCTGGACCCATTATAATAATAATAATAATAAAAAAAAACAACTTCCTTCCTCTTGAAACACCGCAGTCTTTCCAGGATCCAATATGTCCCCTGTTTTCTGTGCCGTCAGAGGGAACATGCTCTTTCATGCAACACCTGAAGACATCCTCCACAGTCCTATAGTTCCTTCTGTCTATGTTATAATCACAGCTGCCATCTTGACCAGATAACAGATTTCTGATTGATACTCCACAGAACCCTATTTAAAACAACTTTTTTTTTTTTTCGGGTGAATGAAGTTTTAAAATATAAGTAAATGTCAAATGGTTTAACTCATTAAAGAAAAAAAAACAAACAAACAAAAAAAAACATTCAAACAAACAAAAACATTACTTTCTGCTCACCTGCATCCGAGGCTGGGATCATTCTATCAACTCTTGAGTCTCTGAAAACTGTTTCGGACAAAAAAGCAGAGAAGATGAAGCTAATTAATGGAACTTCAATATAAGGTTAACATTTTAGTCTGCTCTATGTTTGTACCTGCTGGCTGGAGTTGGCTGAAGGTGGGGTGACCATATTTTGATCCTGTAAGGGATTAACTGTGGCAGAACAAGGGAGATGTGTAGCTCGCCAGTAAATTTCCAGGTACTCTGCGAGGTGGTCGCAGGCTTCTTCCAGCTGATTCTCATCCAGGATTACGTCAAACATCTCCTGAAGGACCAAAAGCACAAAAAAATACTTTATAAAAACTCTCTTTAGTCTTTGTTTCTGTGTCTTTTCTCACATCAGACATTGGAACTAGTGATGGAAACTAGTCTGTTGGATTGCTCATGTTCATTTAGCTGTTTGCTTATTAATGTGTGCTGTACCTTTTTAAATAAAACAGATGGACTTAGATTGAAATGAAAACAGAGGGACATACAGGAGGACACTGAGCCAGCTTGTCTCCGGCCATCATCTGGACATTGAGGTGCTTGCTTTGGGACTTCCCTCGAGACTTTATCAGCCTCTGGAGAACCTGTAGGATGAATCAAAGGCGATTGTTTTTTTTTGTTTTTTTTTAAAGAAACATTGGTCTCACTAAATCAATTCAAATCAAAGCAGCTGACTGTTTGCTTCCACATTAAATCAGCCTGGTTCACAGTTATGCTTTTTGAAAAAAGACAGTAAACCTGTTTTGATTGATCCTTTTTCAAAACACATTGCAGGCTTTACTGTACTTTGGGTGATGAAACTTTAACATAGACGATGATGGGAGCCAGAGATGTTTTGAGGAGCTGGGCTGGATGGTTGATGGTATCTGCATCCAGGACGACCAGCTGAAGAGACTTTGCCAACTCAAAGATCCTCTCTATCTCACTCTGGACTTCAGCTGAGAGCAAACCAGAAAAAAACAAAACAAAAAAAAAAAAAACATTTAACTCAAGAGTCAGTGGAGGTATCTATTCTTAGCTCTTATTGATCTTCATTCACCACCAAAAAGATTGAAGGCAGCTTTTCTCATTATTTACCCAGACTAGAGCGAGTGTTGGATCTTTCCATTATGGCCTTCTTGTTCAGCACTGAGCGCTTTGCCAGGGACAGATCAGCAGTCACCCGTGTAATGGTGATCCTGAGGAAGGAGCATCTTATCACATCTTATCCACTCCTGTTCCATTTCAAAGGAGTGAAACTGTACTCTCAGGGAGCTAAAAATAATTCCTCATCATGCTGTATCCTAGCCACCATGAAACGTGATAGGCAGAACGCCACAACGAACCCAGACACTGTGTTTGTGCAGCAGAGACAGCCGTGCTCACCTGTCGACAAATCTGTGCTTTAGGAAGTCAAACAAAGCTTTCTGCATCATGTCAGTCACCTGAGAGAAACAAAGTGCAAAGGAGTCAGAAGACAATTGCTCTAATAACACAACGAAGACACAATGTGTCATATCTTCGTCTGGTTTGTAAGGCTTTGTTCTCTTTCTCATTGCAACCACGTTCCAGATCATTAGACGCTGGTACAAATATTGTTTTCACTGGACTGTAAATATATTCCTTGATTTTGTCTTTTAATTTTAGGCTAGTAGGCCTTCTCAAGTAAAAACAATAATTGTCAATAAATGCGATTATTTTCTGAAGCTGTGAGAAATGGACCACTTGAGGCTCTGGGGCTGTTCTCAGTGGCATTTAGAGGAAAAAGAAAAAGACATTTAACCCAAAAAACAAGGACATCTACCCAACTAAAATGTGTTTTAGTTGAAAAAAAAAAGTTGATGTAGTTAGTTACCATGGTAAGCTCATGTTATATAACTAAATAATGTTACTACAATACATGTTTGAATAACTTAATGAGATACAAATAACCATAAGCGCAAATGAACAGATTTTATTACTTATTAGAAAGCTTTGGATGTTAGGTGGCCACATTCACTTCAGCAATGAGTTTCACCATCATTACCTTGAAGCTCCACGAGCTTTAGAATCGATTTGTTACGGACAATTAATGAACATTTCAACTAAAGGAGGGACAATCCTAAAGCTGTAGTTCTAAAACAAAACAAAAAAATGTTTCAACATGACTTCATTCTGGATTTTTCTAAGGCGGCATCATCACGGTCTAATTTCCAGCAGTTGCAGAAAATATCGATGGCTTTTAGATAGGATTGTTCTTCCATTCTGATGCAGAGAAATGGAGTGACCACAAGAGGGGGTTCAGAGAGGAGAGAAAGGAGTTAATGTGGAAGAGCATCAAGGAGTGGCAGCATGCAATATGTACAAGTGAGACAAAGCGGAGAGAATGAGAACAAGAGGGAGAGGGAGGCAAGCTGGTGTTCACCACCGGAGCATCCCCGAAGCACATCGCACCACTGCAATGCATAAATATTTCACACACATGCACACAAACACAGACGGCTTGGCATGCAGTGTGCGAGATCACAGCGGAGAGATCAGGGCAGAGAGAAAAACACAGAGGCTCAGAAACACACCACTCGCCTTGCATTTCAACATACTCAAACGCAGACTCATTCCATGCTGAAGGGTTCAGAGGAGAGACGGCAACGTGTTTTCGTAGGTTTCATACACGGTGCGACTGTCTGTGAAGTAATTTTCCAATGCGAACTGAGTTAGGATTTATGAGGAGACATATTGGTTTGGCTGATCCGAGAGGCAGCAGTCTTTGAAGAATGTGACTGCAATGTTTAGTATCGCTGTGCATTGGATAATTCTGGAAAAACAACCAAAAAAATAAAAAAAATAAAATAAAATCCCACTGGATCTGAAAATCCACTCCATTTTTGACTGAAGCAACATTCCAACAGACTGAGCTCAAACACAATTGACTGTGTCTGGTACATTTCTAGGGTTACAGTTATTTTGGTGTTCTGCAGATTATTTATGAACCGTTGCACACATTTACATGGAAGTGTATTTATTTTTTGGTACCCCAAACAATGCCTCTTCTTTAAATTTAACATGACAAATTATAAATCTCTTCTAGGTTGATCACAGTGGCTAGAGGACTTTTAAGTAGTAATCCGCAATTTCCTATTTCCTATGGGGAAAAAACATATTACAGAGGCCAATTTCAGTAAACTACTCTACAAAATAGGAAAGACAACAGAACATGCTACTCAAACTGTGCAGATTGTCTGTGTCATTCTTTAGGTCGATAATGGGTGCAAGAAAGGAGTCACTCTCAAACGGCCTGTAAGTTAGCTGAGGCATTTGTTCCTTTATGGCAAGTGGCAACAAGTGGTTTCATAGTTGACAACTTCAAGAACTCCAAAACCTGAGCTCTAAGAGAGGGAGTCCTTAACCTCACTTATATCTACAGTCAGAGCAACTATTTCCAAAAAATTGTTTCTCGGTCTGTGACGGCAAAGCCTTACAGGTTGATCCTATAAGTGTTTAAAGCAATGCTACAGGGCTGTTTCTCTAATTTAATAAGTATGCTTCACCTCCTATCTAAATGGAACATTTATGAGATGCAAAGTTTACAAATGCCTGCATATTTTTGTTTTGCTCACTGTTTGTTTTAATCTGAATAAAGTATTTTGTAATGAATGGGATAACGTGAACTGTAAAGTCAGTGATGTGAAAATGTCCCAACTGGGAGTCATTGACGTTGTAGTTTTGAAGTCTCAAGGTGTCTGTCCTATTTCTTTCTTACAGCTTTTGCACAGTGAAAGCAGATAACTCGGTGGGTAATCAACTCACTTCATAGCCTTTCAGTGAAGGGCCCACCAGCACCACGGGCCTCATGGAGGGAACCACGTCATAGGGAGGAACATGTTCCGTCTGCAGAGGTCACAAACGCAGGCAGGGGGTGGAGGACGGGAGAGCACAGAAACACTGAAGTGAATGGAAACACACTCCAGGAGATCATTTGTTAAAAACTGGATGGCTGTGCACTCAGTAGCAGAGTATGAACTGCAAAGTAAAAGAAAATAAAAAATACAAAGAGACAAGGAAGGAAAAGGACAAACATACCTGTTTCTGCTTCTGTTTGGCTTTTAGGGCAAATACAATTAACATTAAACATGATTTATGAGGAAAATAGCAGAGGATACAAAGCTGTAAGTAAATAAAATACCCAGAGAGTCCAGAGTTGAGTCAAAGGGTTCTTACACATTTTTCAACATGCAAACTCTCAACTGGATGGATGGATGGATGGATGGATGGATGGATGGATGGATGGATGGATGGATGGATGGATTTTACAGTCAGGTAAAAATATTAGGGTCCATGTGCATTTCTAACAACTCTGGACGTACAATAAGTAACATAAATTATAAAACAATATCATAAAACACCAAGTAATGAAACCAAGCAAAAACAGCAAAAAAGACATTTTAAAACTTTCTCTAAAATGTAAGAAAAATTTCGACCCAACAGTTGTTCCCTGCTAACTTGGCTAAATTCATGTAGGGTCACATATGAGAACAACAGAGGATGGGAACATTGCTACTCAGCATTGTAAGGAGTTTGTCCTGTTTAGACCTCAGACATGTACTTTAAAAGTCCAACTTAGACAGAATACTGGATTATCATACGGGTCTAGTAAAGGATTCAAAGAGGTTTCAAATGAACATAGACTTGCTGTGATTGTATCGGATAATAGTTTATAAGCTCTGAACATGTTGTCAAAATGGCTGCCAACATGGTCATCCAAGCAAGTTTATCCTAAAAGCAGATGACAAGGATGCTAAAAGAAATCTCCAAAAACTCCAACATGTCATCATGGGACCAGCAGGCTCTTGCAGAGATGGTCCATTTACAGATCTATAACGTAAATATTGAGTTCTGTAGTTTTCTGTGAAGTTGCCGGGTGTGATTAAGCTGATCATTCGTCACAATTGGAAAATGGTTCTTAACCAAAAAAAGTGACTTTCTGCTCTTTTGTGTGAAATCTTTGGTTCACACAAGCAAAGACTTTATCAAGTCCAGAGGACCCAAGAGTCATTCTCATGAATGTCATTCCAAATGTTATTTCCTTTCTTTGGCGTTATTTTAAAATGAGCCTTTTCACTACTGCATATATAAATCTGACCTATCAGGATCACCAGGTTCCAGCAGACGAGAAATGTAACGCAGCTCTTCCTGTCCCCCTTACCTGCAGATGGAGGGGTGGACCTCCAGCCTCCCGATGATGCGTTCCCTCCTTTCCTGCAGAGCGACATAATGCAAAACTTTATTATGCGTGATGAATCCCCCCAGGAGGCAATTTGGAGAGCTCCAAAAAAAAAGCTCAACACATGAGCAAAAGCTATTTATAGCTTTGAAAAGTTTTCAGTGTTTACTGCAGAGCGAGCTGGTAAAAATCAGGGCAGAGAAACTCAGAAATACAGAGTGGCAGCAAACAAATCCACGAGGGCCGTGTGTGTTTTGACCTGGCAGCTGCTTTTTGTTCTTGTTTTATCCTCATGGCCTCCAGTTTCACTGGGCTCGGGATAAATGTAATGTCTGCCCCTTCTTTCACTAGCCGGCCAATCCACCAGTCATTGTTATATTTCTGCAGGGAAGGAAATTGCACAATGGCTTACCATTGTATCTAAAGATTAATTTACCATGGATTGTTGTCATGTTGAGTTTTAATGTTTCCTACCTCTTTTATGTGCAGAAAGTCTTTGGTTTCAAAGTTGATAGCAGCACCTTGGACCGGGCAATCTTCATCAAGGGCCCCACAGTAACTCACATTAGTTTTCACTGCAAATGCCACCGGCTTGGACTGTTGAGGACAAGTATATAAAGCAGTTTACAGCAGTCCTTTGGGCTCCATAGACGTAAAAGACTTAACACCATAGTAGAGATCTCGTACTACTGATTTTTAAGGGATTAACATAAATTTGAGCCTCTTACCTTGGCTCTTTCCAGCTGCAGCTGAGCCTGGCGCTCGGCTTCACGCCGAGACGCCTCCTGGTCTTCCTCCAGGGACAGGTCGGAATCAGAGGGTCGACTAGCGTAGGAATCAGCTGAACCCTGGAAAGGGAGAAGAAAAAATAAAAAAAAAAAAAAAAAAAAAAAAAAGTAAAACTCTCAGAGGTGACCTGAAGGAAGAGATGAACCCGTTTCAATGCAACATCCGGCAGGAATTGCTTATAATTTTATTAGAGTATAAGGAAAATAACAAATGTACCACTTCACACAGATAATCCGTGTCCTCCATGCCTGTCCCATCGTATACCTGTCCCTGCACCTGCTTGTCCTTTCTTGTAGCTTTCCAAAGCAGCCCTTCCCGTGGGAACATGGTGTTCATGAGTACCGCAACACTAACAACAGGCACAACCTTCCCTGTTTATCCACTTCAGCATGTGTTGGAAGAAATCCAGTCTGCGCCCAAAAAGGTTGAGGTTAAAAAAAAAAAAAAAAAAAAAAAACACTATTTGGCATTTTATAGTTTTACTGGTTTCAGTACAGAAATTCTTTGTGAGCCAATAAATAACCTTTGCAAGAAAGAATAAAGGACAATAGAAAGTGCTGGAGAGATCCTGAGATCTGTCCTTTTATATTGATTAAAAATTAAAACACAAACCTCACCTTACTCATCCTCTCACACCAACATCATATTTAGAAGTGAGCAACCTCATAAAAAAGCCAAATAAAGTATCTTAAAAGGTTTATTTGACCCTTTTTGTCACGTCTAGCTCACTTTGCGCCTCTTCCCTCCTCCTGTTCAGCTGCAGCTCTTTGATATCGGCCAAGTTCCCCCAAAACAGGTTGAGCAAAAATCTAAAGCAAAGGATTTTGGAATTATTTATATATGAGAGCCACAGAGTCCATTAGAAGAGAGAAAAAAGGGACTCTATTCAAGATAAAAATGTTCTGCCTTGTTATTTTTGGCATGGTTCAAATCCCAAAGATCTGAAGGAAATCACCTCATCGTGCATCATTTTTTACCCTGCATAAAAATGATGCACGAGTAAATCTCCTAAAATGCTTCGCCTTGACCGCTCTGTTTGTAACCATTAAAAGGATTTCCAACTTAGTTCTCCTCGATGGTTTGACCAGCTTCATCAGAAATGATTGATTTAGTTAAAACCAACAACTTTCCTGGGCATATTCTTCAAACGCTTATTTGAGGACATACCAAGGTTTTGAATAGGCCGTTGCAGTAGTCTGCCTGGTCCATCCCAAAGCTGCTTTAGACGTGTGTTTGAAATCACTGTTCAAGTGAAACAATCACGTTGAAGAATTTGTATGTAGCACTCATTTGTTACTCCGCAAATATTGAATAACTTACAGCAAGCAGAGAAACAGCCCCACAGCATGATTCTGCTGCCACCATGCTTGACAGTTGGCACTGTTTTCTTAGTTTTAAAAGTATTTGTTTTCTTTAAAAGATATTTGTTGCCATCATGGTCAAATAGTTCAATCTTTATCTCAGCTGAAAATTTCAGATCAGCTTTAGGGATTTAATTTTGAAACAAGGACTTCTTTGTTGGTTGGCAACCTCTGCATCCACAAACAAGAGGAATTTGTGTCACATTAGACATGGTTGCACATCTGGAAAACCTTTTGTCTGAACTGATCGCGTCGACTCTGTAATTGGTTAGAGCTTCCTCAAGTTGTGGAAATGTACAAATATAGTATTCAGATCTTTAATGAGATTGTTGGATTTCCCGTTTTCCTGAGGATTGCAGATGAGGGTTGATGAGTGTGCTCCAACAAATCCCCCCCCCTGCGCTCACTCTAAACAGTCAGGTCCTTATTGAAAAGTTAAAAGTCCAAAGGATTCACAAAAACTGAGCAGAAAGTGTGAGCCTGAATGTTGAATTTTGACCTTGTGAATTAAATAAAAAATACAAAATGTTAAGAATAAACCTCCGATTATTTAATGAATAGCAAAATTAACTTAAGTATAAAGGGTCATTGCTGATAAATGATGTGTGTGTTTGTGTGTGTAGTGTATGTGTTTCACAGACAAACATGTTCAGGTGAAAATAACTACTTGGTACGTTGAAAGGAGAGAATTTGGCACACTAACCCACTTTACTCTAAACTTTTAACCATAAAATTTGTCTTTCTCTGGTGTTTTAGCTCAGGTAATCAGGTGAGTTTTGCCTCAAAATCTAATTTCTATTTTCTTTGGCTTTGATATTCATGAGTATTTATTCATTTAGGACTGCTGTATCCAAGGTTCCTGAAAACGTAGGTAAAAATGTGTTAAAAGTTTTTTAAATAACTTCATTTTTGACTGTAGTAGCATACTTCTAAAACAATACAGCATTAAATTTTGAGCATATGATAAAAAAAATATTTCAGAATTTCATTGGTTCCAAAAACATGCAGCTTTTTACAGTTTTGTGTTGATTATGCGTGAAAACTTAAGGGTATACATGTGCAAACAACACACAATGAGTCTGGTTATGCTAATATTCCTGGTGCATTCAGGTGCATAGAGTATGGGAAGCTATGTGTATCAAAAATTGTGTGTGTGTTGTTTGGCTGACAAATACCCATCGAGTATTCACATGTAAACAAAGCAAAAGCAACTCATCAACATTGTCTTATTTATGTGCAAACAACCCATCAACAATGCATCCAAGTTTCTAGTGGTCTGGTTTAATCGCTTTTGGTCTTCCATACAAAGCGAAATTCAAATGCATGGATACATAATACAGTCAGTTTCTGCAGCAAATAGGGTTTAAAATGATGTGTAAGAGCAACATCACACATCACATTAGGTATTCAAAGCTTCAGCATATAGTCCACACAGGTAGAAATGAACAATTGTCAGACTATTAAATCTTTTATACAAAATTTAACATATGCCAAGATGCTACATATGTTCAAGGGTTTTAGGACTATTTTAATCTTTCAGTCCACAGATATGTTACTTCCTGAGCTGTTAGAGGTTTTGATCCCAGGTGTAAGCACATATATATCAAATAGAGAATCTCATTCCTTTTATGAGATGTACTTTATTTTCTTTTGTGAGGATGGTAGGGTTGTAATTATTTTTCTGTCTGTTTTTGCTCCCCCATTTTAGGACATAAACTGTTGTCTCATGACATGATCACAGAAATTAAGACATCAGTCTATTCTCTTTTAAAACAACAAATGCCTACTGTACTCAATAATACTGTTAATGAGAAAGCCCTCACATGCTGGAAGTCCCACCAGAGACTGAAACACGAGATGATGACACTGCAGCAGTTATAGATCTCCACCAGCAGAGGGCAGCACATTCACATCACTAACAAGTAAGACAGACAGCAATGCATGTTGGTTTTCACGACACTGGCTGAGTTTGCTTAATCTAACGGGTTTTATTAAGACTTTGTAATGCAACAAGTATGGAGGAGAATATATGTAATGGCACTTTGTTGTTGTTGAGTATCTATCCTAATTTTATGAAACACATGCAAAGCCACAAGTATAGGCTTAGCTGAAACACTGACAGAAACTGGAGCTTTAACAGAGTAAATAAAAAAAAAAAGATACAGATAGTAAATTAAAACATGAGCTGAAAAATTACAATACAGAAATTAGCAAAGCAGTACACATAGTACGGTCTTGAATAACCCCAGTAATTTTAAAATAATTATTATGGCAATGCATTAAAATAGAACTCACAAAAAACATAGGAAAATAAGGTTAAGGATTCACAAAATTACTAAAACATAACATAAACATTATAAAACGTAGCTTTATGCCCCTTGTGACATCCAATGAGTGTTCAAAAACAAAACAGTATAAATAAAAAGATAACTGAAAATATTATATTATAATAAATAAATAAATAAATAAATAAATAAATAAATAAATAAATAAAGACAGACAGACAGACAGACAGACAGACAAAGACACATATTTATCCCAAGGAGGTTGTAAATGTTCCAGAATATCAGCAAGCTGTACAACAGTGGTACGTGCAATTTTATGCCTGTAATCTCTGAGTCCAGATGTACTGACCCTCAGTGGGACAGGAGCCACACGGCTCTCTGTCGACTCAAAACACATTCCTAGCTGAGAGATGGACTTTTAAAACAAACTATTGATCCAAATTGATGATGTTCAACAGATGGGCCGCTCAGTGAGTCGCAATCCCAGTGAAATGCTACAGTTTGAGCTGAACACAGTAAGCGTGATAAAACCTGTCGCATGTGTTCAGTGCAGCATGTCAACATTGGGTGAAGAACAGGGGGGGAGGTGAAGGAGAGACACAAGGGGGGAGATGCAGGCAAAGTGACTGAACCCGTGCACACTTCTGCCGAAACTGCGGTGAAGTCCCCTGAATGTCTCTGAGCAGCCATTTAGAAGACTCGTGGACGAAAAAGCTGAGTTTGCATGCAGGGAGATTTTCCTCTACAGAAACGGAGGCAGCGTTAGGAGCGTACCTTGTTGATCAGTCCTGTAGCACTCGAGTCGGAGGCAGACATGATTCTGCTGCCAGTGCTCTCCTCTCCCCATGGCACAGAAAAACAGCGGAAACCTCCTCCCCTCCGGCCGTGGTTACAGTGAGGGGAGCACAGCGAGGGAGGGAGGCAGAGGCAGGGAGGCGCGCTCAGGGTAAGTGCTTCACAGCCATTGCTGCGCTGCCTCAATACTCATTTCCCATAGAAAATTGATGCTCCGACTGCAGCACTGTTTTGTGTACACCCGTGGAAATCTCTACATCCTAGGTATGTCAGAAAAAGGAAAGTCTCCTCATGTTTCTATTGCACAAGTTGCTCCATCATAACTTAGGTTTCACAAAAGCACCACAATAACCCTTAAGGTTCATATGGAGTTGAATAATTTCTACACCAGAAGGTCAAGAGATGCTAAGTACATGCATGAAGAAAAGGCAGGCTTGTATCTGCACTGTACCATTAAAATACAAGGTATTTCAAAATATTTTGTGTGGGTGGAAAATACCTCAAAAATAGAAAATACAACAAAAGTAAAGAAGAAGAGTAAAGTTCAACATAAGAAATAATGTTTTCCATCCTGATTTAATGGAACCAACTGTTTCTGCATACCTCGGGTTTTCGAGGAGTTTGTTCCAGACGAGCATTTAGGAACTAAATGCTTCGTCTCCTTGTTTAGTTTTAGTTTTGAGAACACTGAGTGAGATCATATTTAAAGACCTGAGGGATCTACAAGGTTCGCACCTGACAAGCAGCTCTGAAAGGTTTTTAGGCTTGAGGACATTCACTGCTTTATAAGCCAAAAGCAAGATTTACTTTTCATCCCTGACTCCAGGTAGACAGGCTGACCTGACGTCATCCTTTTTCCTGGTTTGCGTGACGTTCCAGGCAGCCATATTTTGGATGAGCTGCAGCTGCCTGACTGATTTTTCAAAATGATCTTTCACTGAGATCTGTGATAAAATAACTTACCCACAGAACATGGCAACCAGTAATAAACTTTGTGTGGATGTTAATTTTGGTATGAGCACACATCACAACTGTGATTTTTAGTCTCATTGAGTCGAATCAATGATTTTAGTCTTTTCTTCATTCATTTGGAGAAATTTTGCATCGTCCACATGTAATGTGTTGAAATAGAAACATGAAGTCATGTCATCAGAATTCATATGTTAACTATATATTTTATAAAATATAGTTATTGGATAAAAATTGGTCCCAGATGGAGCCTGGAGGAACCTGACATTTATCTGCTTTGGTTAACACAAAGCTCTGCTCTGCAAGATAAACTGGGCCAAATTATTCCCAATTTATCAGTCAGTGTGTACTCAAGCACACCACTGTTATCCACTAATACCAACAAAGATCATTTAGATGTGACAGTGTTAAGGTCTATTATTATTATTTCAAACCTTTACCAAAGTTCTACAGGAAGCACAGCCACAAAATGCTTCGGAAACAAACTATGGATCCAGTTCAAGGTTAGTGACTCGTTTTTGCAAGATGAAAAATAAAATAAGCCGGGTTTAATGACATGGTTGAGGATACGCAAACAGGGACTCGCGGAGAGCAAACTGTCTGCCCGCCCTGCAACATCCTACTGACAAAAAGGTGATGCGTAAGTCTACAAATCAGAAATGCGGTGGTGAGTCAGCAGACAGCCATGTTGAGTCCATCAGCAGTGGTAATAAGCCAGCAGAGAGGTATCCATTATGGAAAACATCCTTACAGTTCCAGGCTGCATGCCTGCTCGTCTGGTCGCCTCAGGCACTGAGAGACCCTCCGCTTTGGGGTCCACGCTGGAAAAAATACACTCCTGCAGAGGCTCTAACCCTCATTCAACTTTGACTACTTATGAATTAAGTGCACTCTAGCAAGGCTTTTAGTAGAAAATATCTCAGGGCAATACATTTCTGCGTGACTTTTCAAAATTAAAGGGAAGCGAGCAGGCAAGCACTCACTCACACACACACACACACACACACACACAAACATGCACACACACACACACAGCAGCAGAAGCAGCACATTATTATTGCAACAACTCCCAGATCCCTCTGGATCAGAGATAATATGGTGGCTATATTTTCATCATTAGTGTATCAGTATGCACAAGGCAGCAGGCAGTGGCCAAGCAGAGGCAAAAATAGAACGAATACAAAGGAAAAACAGAAAGTGGGGCAACACAGATTTGAAACACAAGTGATTAGTTTAAAAAAAAAATGTATCTACCTTTCCGGTACTAATTATTCCAAGTATTTTCAGCTGTTTGCGATGAGTGACAATAGTGGCAATGCTACAGCTAATTTATTAGAACAGAGGATGACAGATTTGCAGGAGACTTTTCCCTTTTTGTGTGTTTTGTCTTTGCTGTTCAGTGGTTCTACATATAGCTCTCCTCTGCTTTACTTACACTCCTCCTACCGCCACCGACTGGGGCCGGCAGTGGGGAGAAGATGGCTGAGGATTGTCAAAGTTCACTGAGTTTTCATGAATGCTTCCAAGTAGGAGGAAGCAGATTTGAGGTTGGTTCAGCTACAGTTGTTCTGAAGCCGGATTGAGTGTGAACTCAATGAGAACAGACAAACCCAGAGACATTTATGCCGACTCTGCAGGCGGGTTCCTCTTTTGAAATAGGCACAGTGAGCAAGGTGGACTTTAAAAAAAAAAAAAAATCTCATGGTTATCATTACAAAACATGTTTTTTCTTTTGCTTGTATGAGTCTGTTGGTGACATACTGCTGAAAACAGCGACTTCTGATGAAATGTTCTGGTTTGTACAAAAGTTCAGACTTTTTTAAATTAATACTGCTGCGACTCAAATATGTTTTTTTGTTTTGTTTGCACAATAGGATTTATATATGCTTCTATGCAAGTGTCTCTTTAAGGACTATGAGGTGCTAGTATATAAAATATAATATACTATATATTACCTGTATTAGATAAGTCTCTTTGTTTCTTTCCTTATTATTAATCCAGATTAGTGAGTCCCAGAAGCTAAAAATCCTGGAGAGGCAAAGATGACTCCAACCTGAAAAATAGCACAGAGGATTATGCTATTTCATGAACTTTTAAACTCCGGGTGCGCACTGCACATCGTCCAAAGAGTCATTTTTGGTCTCAATTTTAACCAAATGTAATGTGGTCTAAAATAAAAATTTTAGACCACATTTTTTTTTTTTTTTTAGAAAATTATCAAACTTTTACAAGTGGAAATAATTCTGGAGTAGAACGAGACCAATTGAATCTTTCCCATATTTAGAAAACAGGAGGGGACAAATAAATAAATAAATAAATAAATAAATAAATAAATAAATAAATAAATAAATAAATAAATAATTTTAAGCCAAATGATTGAAGCAAAAAAAGTGTGCTAATATTGTGGACATTTTATGCAGATCAATAGAAAAATTAACAAAACCAGCCTCTGTTATTATTTTTCTATTTATATAAACGGTTCTTTCCACTGCATTTCTCAGAGTGTGTTTCACACAGGAAGATTATTATTGGTGGAACGCCTCCTAACACCTTTTCCTGTATGTTTGATCATCGGCTGCTGTGTAAATGACCCTCCAAATTATATGCAATAGTTCATAAACATAGCACACTATAAACCATAAGCAAATTTTGAAGAGTGCAGTTGCTTCAAAACAGTAGAACTCAAATTCTCTGTAGACCCCATTAGTTTCAACCTCTGAGATGACGACAATAAGCATTATCTAAAGCAAGTAGGATATCAACTATTTATAATTTTTTTCTGATTTTGCTTTAGCAATCTTGAACTTTCACACAAAAGAAAACAAAACACGAAATACAAAATAACGAAACTCAGAAATCAGGACAGCAAAGAAGTGACCACTTTAGACACAAAAGTGAAACATGGGATGGGAAAATGAATGCATAAACAAATAAACTATTGAACCAGAGAAACATGTGATTCCATATTTAAACTCAGGTTCTTCTTTACTAAACTGGTCTTCAGGTCAGAGGATCAGAAAAAAAAAATAGGTAAAAAAATTAAAAAATGTAGAGATCCTATGTGTAGATGTAACAAAATGACAATAAAAATTATGGGAGAGTGTCGTGTCAGGCTAAATCTGTTGGAGTGGCCCAACATGAGCACATATTTCTCCAAGCATTCAGCTCCTCCTTTCACAATCAATTCAGAGCCGTGAAAATGTGTTGTCTGGAAGCAATTTCAGATCTTTGCACTTACAGCAAGGCAGCAACAACAAACACTCGAGAGTTAATTTTCCCTCAGTCATCTCTGATTGTGACAACTAAAATCTTTCTCCAATACAAAGTGTCTATACACAAAAAAATGTAGCATTTTCAACCAAAAAGGGACTGACAAACAGAGAATTTTGTAAAAAAAAAAAAAAAAAACATTACATGCTTTGATGGACATATGAGAATATTTATTTTGTTTTTCTCTTGGATTGAAAACTATTACCACAAACAAACAAACTACAGAACATATGATGCAGTGAAAAAGAAAAATTCAATTGACAGGTCCCTGCCAAAAAAAAAAAAAAAAAAAACTCAATCTGTGTACCCTTAGTTCCTGCTCTACATCAGAGGACTGCTTTTCAAGCGTGTGGACTTGTGAAAAAAAAAAACTAAATCTAGCTTGCATGCAGTGGCAGCAGCTGAGGCAGCATCTCTGACAGAGGTGCATGTTTCAGAGCCTCGCAGGGAAGAGTGCAACCAGAGTAGGGCAGAGCGGATCAATACCAGAGCCACCCAGATTGATACTCCACACTGTCCTCAGCAGCTCCACCCTTCCCCTGCTTTAATGTAACTTCACAGTACACTCTCCCTGCAGCCATTTTACTTCCAAGTTATGACTAATTTACAAATGTGTTTTAGTATATATATTACTAGGATCTTGTAAAACAGGTAGCGGGTCACAAAAGCACTACTACAGACGGGTATGACGGTAGAGAGACGTTTCTTATCTCAGACAGGCTGAGGCAGAGAAGCTTGGATGCGATGGAGGAAGTGGAGCAGGATGAAGAAAATCTGGTCAGGAATCTTTCTTCTTCTTCAGTTCGCTGTCAAACGCCGCCTTGCTGGCTACACTGCACATTCGTAGCCTCTTCTACTCCTCAGGGGATCCCTCAACCTGACTTCACTATGCTGCTTCAAAGCAGAGCTTGAAGCTAACCCACATAGAGTCTGTCTACCTGGAGCGCAGGGTTGCAGTCAAACGCTTAATTAAATCACACGTGTTTGTTCCGAGCTGACCTGGTTCGGGCTCTGGGTTTGAGTCGGGCCTAATTGGTGTGTCTTGACTCGTGGGCTGAGCTAACTGTGGGAATGTCAGCCTTATTAATATGCAATGAACGCCCTACATATTCAACCATTCCAGCTCTCACCGATGGACCTTAAACATTTTCTG